ATGAAAGAATTAGTAACTATCATTTATTTCTATCAACAGGGCTTGCTCCTGAGATTCCTGAGGATCTGTACCATCTCATCAAAAAAGCTGTTGCCATCCGGAAGCATCTGGAGAGGAACAGGAAGGACAAGGACTCCAAATTCAGGCTGATTCTTGTTGAGAGTAGAATTCACAGACTTGCTCGTTACTACAAGAAGACCAAGAAGCTCCCGCCTGTCTGGAAATAGTAAGTCCCATGTTTTTACTTCTCCCGTGCTGAGTTGTGTAATAATGATTATTAACTTCTTGAAAAAAATTGGTTGATCATCATTTATATCTGTTTTGGATGATCTAAGATCTTAGCGTGATTGTGTTTAGTATGCTTGTGAATCTACAGGAGTGACTAGTACAATAGTGTAACCATCTGCATTTTTCTCTGCAGTGAATCTACAACAGCTAGCACTCTTGTGGCTTGAAGAGTATGCAAGGAAGAAAATGGGTTTTTTGTATTTTCAGTCATATTTTAAAAGGCGAGTATCTTGATTTTGGATGCTTTTGCTTATGAGACCTTGTATTTGTTATGAGACTAGTTTAATCGAATCGAATGTTTCAGTTTGCTTAAACGCGCTGTCTTGGAGATTTTGTTAGTGCCTTGTTCAATTATCCATTTTTATTTCGAGTGTGATATGATTCATTGGTTAAGGGTGCAACTACTCAAAAGCCAATCCTTTTCAAGCATTTTAGTACAATCTTGCAATCCGTGATAGATATGGAATTGTGGTATGTTTGGACTTATGCAAACTAACATTTTATTGCAATCTCAACTTAATGTTGGTTATGTTTGGGAACTAACATTTTATTACAATCCTAAGTACCGAAAACATCGAGCTTAAACCAAAAAACTGGTTTATTCGAGTCTTGACACAATTTCACAATACTTGAATCATACATCGACAATCAAAGGGAAAAAAGATGGTAAACAAGACGAGTTTGAAAAAAAGATAAGATGAGTTTGTTGACAAGATAGTGATCAAGATGAGTTTGAAAAAAGATGGTAATCAAGATGATTAAAAAAGATAAGATGAGTTTGTTGACAAGATAGTGATCAAGATGAGTTTGAAAAAAGATGGTAATCAAGATGAGTTTGTAATTAGTATTCAACGCTTAATTGGTATTCTATACTTATATAAAAAGCTATCATATTTACTAGAATTAGTAGTAAGAAAAGTCAAAGGTAATTAATCTATTTCCATCAAGTATTTTATTTTATTTAATTGTTTTATCCCATAACACATTTTTCAATACACATATTATTTTATTTAATTGTGTATATATATATATATTATACACATCACAATACTATGGTAGATGATTTAAATTTCAACCTAACAAAATGTCAATGATTTAAATTTGAATACACATGCGTTTGACCAAATATCTTAATGATTTAAAATTGAGCCCATAAAAAAATATCTAAATTTGAACACACCAAAAATTTTATTTATTTAAATTTGAACACACCAGAAATTTTATGTACTTTTTATTTATCGATATATTGAAAGTGGTATTTAATGGTTGTTATATAAACTATTTTAATATATTTGCAATGAATAAAAGTTTGAATGAATAATTTGTAATGTTATTCATTATGTTTGTGACTTGTGAGACACGAACACATAGATACATATTAGCCAGAAGGTGGCTAAATAATTTTCATAGATTGTTCAAAGCTATAATGAATCAACAAATCGTGGAATAAATAAAAAATCATGAAAATATTTCCTACACTGATAAAACGTTACAAAAATTGATAAAAGCTAAAAAAATAATATTAATTTTTTTTATGTTTGTTTAGATTAACAACATTGATCCAACAAGTTCATCTTTCCTGTTTGGTCAAAATAATAATCTAACTTTATAAATCAATAAGCAAAATGTTTGGTCATGTTAATAATCAAACTTTATAAATCAATAGCAAATGAAAAGCAGTCTTAATTGAATGTAGAGTATGTTGTAAAATTGAATCTAGAGTATGTCGGAAATCAATTCACACGGTTAAATTGTGATAACTAAAAAATAACAAACTAAAAAAAAAATCAAAAAGTTTAGATGACATGTGACATGCATCCCGCTCCGAGAAAACTTTTATCTTATAGCAAAATACTGGTTGCATCTAATCTAATAGATGTGTAGAAGAATATGATGGATAAAAAACCTCATCATAACGAGAAAACCTTTATCTTATAGCAGAATGCTGGTTGCATCTAATAGATTTTTTTTTTTCTTATTTGCAACTAGCATTCTAGCTATACTAAAGTAAACCATTATATCATTAAGAATATATTATATTTATATTATCAAATCATAAAAAGATATTAAATCCATATTGTAAAAAAAATTAATTCATGTAATTTTATAATAATTCTACTACACTATTTAACAGTATTCCTTTTTATTATATAATAAAATAATAATTAATTATTATATGGAGAACAAGAATAAGTAAAACTGTTACTTTCTCTTATATCAAGTGATAAATTTATATGCTAAAATTAAATTTTTATTAGTATAAATGTTTTAGTGAGATAATATATTAATTATTTTACAAATTATCCCTAACATGCTCATATTTAATGTTCTGGCTACAAAAAAACGATGGTTAAAAGATGTGAAAAAAACTTATAACTTATTGTTTTTTAGATTTAACGTTGATTAAAAAAGATAAAAAAATAGATAATAACTTTATTATTTTTTAGACTTAAACGAAAAAGACTGAAAATAATTCATTTAATATTCTGTCTCGTGCATCGCACGAGGTACGTACTAGTTTACCGACTAAAATGTAATGAGAGCACCCCATTTTCCTCAACACCAAAAGAAAAATACAAAGGTAAGATTATGGGACCGGTACGTGGTACGAAAGAACAATAAAGTACAAAAAAAAAAAATGCTACGATTAATCTACATTTCTAACAAATGAAGCTTACACGTCGTAACAAGTTGGGCTGCAACCAAACAAACGACCTAGTTTCTCTATACGGTATACAGTGTAATTTTCTTGCAAATGAAAAAATCTAAAACCGTCAGCCACCTTTTGTCGAGACATTCAATTTGACCGCCACAAAATTTCCCGTCCAATTTTCAGTTCATCTGATGAAGTCGATGAATTCTGTGTAATATCATCATTCTCGGACAAGAATTTGGGGTACTATTAATTGTAAGATTATCAATCTCAGAGTTCTTCAGAGTCCAAATCGGGTTTCGAAGGATATTCAAGACCCTGAAGAGCTGGAATCCGGCGTATGTCTTCTTCAGTGTAAGCCGGTAAGAACCAATACTTTTTGTCCATTCCAAACACCTGTACAAGATGATATGTCTTTTTCATCAGTGCTCGAGCTCAAGTTAATTTTCAACACTAAGCTACAGGAGTATTATAATATAACACAGAAGTTCTTTGGTAAATGCATATATATTCGAGAGCTAGTGCTCTAATCCACAAAAGGGGGTCTGGAGCTTCACTCTGTTTTCGGCTCTAGTTGCTAGAACTAGACTCGAGCGGCTTGCGAGTTCAACTCGATTGCAGCAATTAGCAAAAGAAATTCGAAATATAGTTTTGACCTTAGCTGTCAACTGATTACAGTATTGATCCATGTAGTAGCTAAAAAAATTCTATCTAGAAAACTCAAACTACACACAAGAGTTAAAAATTTATAAAGGAGATTTGAATATCAAGAGTTCCCTGACCTGCTCAAAGTTTCTCTTTCGTCCAAGATCATAACGCCATTTTGGAGAAGTCTTTTTCTCATAAGCCTGCACACAAAAACCAATAAATGTCAGCTATCATCTCACTTGATTTGATTGCAGAGTAAGTCGAAGAATACAAATGAAACCCCTTTGTGTATACAAAGTTCACTAAAGACATCTCAACCTCCTTATCTGTTATTGCAGTAAAAATCATCAGATTAACAAGAACTAAGAGCATTCTAATGAGGAGAAATGTGTTGGGAAATTAAAAAAAAA